CGAATCACCCTCCGACCTGCTGAGCTGCCAAGAGAGGGCAGGGGGAGTCGGACCCAAGGGTCTCGCCGACTTGGGAGCTGATAGACTGGTCTTTTGACCTCAAAACGTGACAGATGGTCAAGTGACCAATAGCCTTGACCCATCTAGCAAACCATGTGACTCCTGACTATTTAAAGCAGGGCGTTTACTCCTAAGGGTGAGGCATTTTCTCCTGAGCCTTGGAGGAGTGTGGGTCTTCCTTAGAGTAGAGCCTAAAGCCTTTGCATTACAACGTTGGTCTGCTTGGAGCCGCCTGAAGCCTTCCAGCTGTGACATATATGAAGTCAGGGAAAAATGCCAAGAAGCCTGAATGGATGAACAGGGAGCTCCTGGAAAAAAATCAAACACAAAAAGCATACAGAAGGTGGAAGCAAGGACAAGTAAAATGAGAGGAGTACAGAAACACTGTCTGAGCATCCAGAAACGCAGTTAGGAAACCTGAAGTCCAAATGGAAATAAATCTGGCCAGGGATGTCAAAGACAACAAGAAGGGTTTCTATAACTACACAGGTGACAAAAAGAAGACAAGGGAAAATGTGGACTCATTTCTCAAAGAGATGGAGGACCTTGTTACACAGGACAGGGAAAAAGCTGCAGTACTGAATGCCACCTTTGCCTCAGTCTTTACTAGCAAGACTGACCCTCAGGAATCTCATGTTCCAGAGATCAGAGGGAAAGGCTGGAGTAAGGAAGATGTACCCTTGGCAAAAGATGATCAGGTCAGGGAATACTTAAGCAAACCAGACATACTTAAGACCATGGGCCCTGATGGGATGCACCACAAGTGCTGAGGGAGCTAGCAGATGTCACTGCAAGGCCACTCTCAACAACCTTTGATTGATCATGGTGACTAGAAGAAGCACCGAACGACTGGAGGAAAGTAAATGTCACTCCTTTGTTCAAGAAGGGCAAGATAGGAGGACCCAGGCAACTACTGGTCAGGTAGGTGAGCAGAGAGCAGTGGAGATTGTCTACCTGGACATCAGTAAGGCCTTTGACACTGTATCTCATAAGATCCTCATAGAGAAGCTATTGATGTACAGGCTGGATGAGCAAACAGTGAGGTGGATTGAAAAATGGCTAAAAGGCTGGGCCTGGAGGACAGTGATGAGCAGCGCAAAGTGTGGTTGGAGGCCAGTAACTAGTGGTATACTCCAGGGGTCAACATTGAGTCCAATCCCATTTAACATCTTTATTGATGATCTGGATGATGTGCCCTCACCATATCTGCTGATAGAACAAAACAAGGCTAAGTAGCTGATATGTCAGAGAGTCATGCTGCCATCCAGAGAGACCTTGACAGGCTGGAGAAATGGGCCAACAAGAACCTCATGAAGTTCAACAAGGAGTGCAAGGTCCTGCACCTGGGAAAGAACAACCGCATGCACCAATGCTGGGGACCACTGTGTTCAGGTCTGAGCTTCTCAGCTCAAGAGAGACATGGACATACTAGAGAGAAAGTCCACTGAAGGGCCACAAAAATGATGGACTGGAGCATCTTTCCTATGAGGAAAGGCTGACGCACATGGGACTGTTTATCCTGAAGAAGGTTCATGGGGATCTTATACATAAAATAAGCACTGTGTATTTTTTGGAATTTACTAGTGAGATGACAGAGTAATGCTTTGTACTTTTAAGATATTAATTCATCAAGCATTTTGTGGTCATTTTAGAAGCACTAAAGAAGCTCCAGAGACAACTGGCCAGCTTGAGCTATAAAACTTCAACTGGAACTCATGACTACTCAAGGACAAGTACTACCAGCGTTACAGCAGTATAACATCGCAAAAACACTTCGATTAAAATTTAAAAATCCTATCCCCTTCAGAAACAGGCATGCTTATCTTCCTAAGCCAGTTCATGTACAAGAAATGGAACACTTTTTGTAGAAGTTATTTTTATTTTGCAAAAAAATTTATTACTCACTGTTGTACAAAATATACCTGAAACATGATGTTAAGATAACGTTGACACAACTAGATAGTTTGCAAATTACCTAGTTGAAGAGAACAAATCTTCACAATTTTTAAGGTGATTCAAGACAGTAACAACAAGTGAATTACACATTTTGAAGTATTTAATTTTTAAGCTTTACACAAATGTTTTTTGTTACTTAGTATTTGTAAACTTCAGTGCTTTGTACAAAGTTTTCATTCACATGATTAGAAGATACAATGAAAATAATGTTTTACAGTTCATTTTTGAAAGCATCTCAATTACGCTTCTACTCTTGGTTTTACAGAAATAGCTGGTTCAGTTCAGAACTTCAATTTTTAAAAGAGACAAACAAGTAAAAGTGATTCCAAATTTGTGCTTTGTTTAAAAACGGACAAAGAATGCAAGTAACTAATCATCTACGTCTGCTGAAATGTAAAAGAAAAAAAAAAATTTTTAAGGTAAATTAGACTAGGAAACATTACATTGATTTCAATAAGTTATTATTTAAACTTCAGAGTGGAAAGTTGGCAGCCATTTACTTAAAATAGCCAACACCGATTCAATTAAAGCTCATCCAAATTTGGTCTATTCTTTTAGTACAGTACTACTGTTATATTTCGTGAGGAAAAAAAATGTATTTCCAGAGGTTTCTCTGTGCCACCCCCTAAGTAATTTTCAGAAGAGTGCATTCTGTTATATATCCTAGGGCCTTCTCAACTATAGGATTTTTATATAATTTAAAAAAAAAAAGAAAAACAAACACCAAACAAGGAGGAAGGGAAGAAGACATTAACGTTACTTTAGTACAGCAAATAACTAAAGATAAAGATGGAAGACACAAAGAAGCAAGCAGATCACTAGGGGACAGATCTTCACCTAGCATAAAGTCAGCATAGCTCCACTGGCATTAGCAGAGCTATCCTGACTTTTATCAGCCACAGATCTGCCTATCCATGTACAGCAAAGCTCATTTATGTTAGTGATAAAGAAGAGCAGTGCTCAGAAGAGTAGTGTTAGCATGCATTTTTTAAATAAAGTAACTTCCTAACACCTTGGTTCTCATCTAGTATTTTCCTGCTGGTGACAGCTGCTCTTACCACTGTCAGTGTATCTAGTTCAGGACGAGTTCCATCACCACTTCCAAATGATAGACTAAAATATATTTAACATATTAATGACTTCATATGTCTATGAAGTTATTAACCACAGCCAGTTCTTATCAGAAACATTCTGAAGCCCATTTACAGTGTGAAACAGAAGGTTTTAAAAGTACTATTTTACAACTTCGGTAAGTTTTTACACTGTTAATGAATTTTCACTGACCATAATTATGTGGAATGAACTGCAATCCCTGGAAGTCAGCAGCAGCTATGCACTGAAATTTAGAGCACTGTGACTCTTTGTTGCTACTAATAATTCCTTTTACAGATCATTAGCTATAGTAAATTTTAAAAAATATCTCCCTAAGGCATATGTTTACAGAGCAAATCCTAAAAGCAGAATTATAGCAACAGAAATAAGTAATTGCAAGAACTTCTCTTTCTCATAGGCAGAAGGATGTTCTTTTAAGGTACAAAAGAATTCCTAGAGTGCGAAGAACAGATTACTTGACCAGGAAAGCAAATATTAAAAACATATGAAACCTGGGAAGCAGAGGCTGAATTCCAGAAACAGCTTGTGGCAGCATTCAGGTCTCACTGCTGTCATCTGCCAAAGGTATTTCTGACTTTTTTGTGTATGTATATATAGTGCATATGTATGCCTAATCTAGTAAAACAAGAAATGAGATTCAAGTTATTCCTGCCAGAGATCTGTGTAAATGCTTACCTCTACAACCACCACATAATAATCTCAAAATAGTTTATTCCAGTGTAATTTTGCATCTTAAATAAAGCTATCTTTAAAACATGCTATTAATGCAGCGTGTGCTCAATCCATTTGAGCTGTACCTTCTGTCAAGTTCTACTTACAGAAAGAAGCAGTTTAATGAATAGTCTATAACAAGGCAAGTAAAAAAGGTAGTAGTACCTACACTGGACAAAACTCTTGGCAATGTTCATCATTTCTGCAACAATGCTATGTTAAAACTCGCAAGAAACTGAGGTACAAATATGTCAAGTAAAGGTAAGATTTGTTTTGCATTCATTTGAAGTACGATAGTTACCCCTATTTCCTGATTTTTAAAAAAATCTTTTATTTCCTTAAAGAAAAATATATACTCGCATACAATGCTGATACCCTATGTGGTGATGCCATAAATCCCTTAGGATAGCAAGTTTGATGGGTGGTAACCCATTAGGAGAAAAATATATTTTTGAATATTATTTTACATATATACAAAATATATATAATTTTCAATCAAAATATAAACTTTTCTTAATGTATTCATGAGTATTTTTAATGTGAAAAACGAAAAACTGTTTTGTATCTCAGTTTGTATAAGTTAAAAATTAACATGGTATCTGATATCCATAAGTAATGTTTTTTGGTTCATTTCTACAGAATTAAAAGAAAACAAAGAAACAGTGAGTTAAAAAGCTTTCCTTCTCCAATGCCAAATACAACAAAATCTTGAAGCTGAACAGTTAATTAAAAGGACAACACCAAGTCTTGCATTTTAAGTCATTACAAAGAACATAAACGTAATCTAAGTAGAAACTAGCATTACTATATTAAGAGTCTAAAGAAAAAATATTTTGAATCCCTTATTTTTGATGGAATGTGTCTAGCGGAGATTAAAAAAAATGTAGATTTAAAGTAAGAGCTACTTACACTCTCATCAGTCTATATTAATTTTGACAAACCTCTCCCCTACCAATTCCAAGATACCTAATATCACAAAAGTATGACAGCCACTTATTTACAGTTTTTTTCAGAACTGTGAAAGGCACATTTATCTTTTTACGCATGTTTCTGCTAATGTCCTAAACTTGGGTTCCAGCTGATCTAGGAAGTCAAGTGCCTCTTCCTCTTGCTGATCACTGCAGCAGCCTACAGAGCCAGCCAAGGATCCTTTTCCTTCATAGTTATATGAAAGGAGATAATCTTCAGAATGCTTCTGTTCTTCATCCTGTCTGCATAGATGCACCTTCTGCATGGGAAGAGAACACACCTTATCATTTTCTTAAATTGTTATCCTAAACATATTGCATAAAAATAATTTCTTTTGATTTACCTTTCATTGATTAATTTTTAATCAGAGTGTGTCCTCTAATGGATTCCTACATACAAAAAATGCACATGATTGGTCTATATCATTAAGACTACAAAATAAAAGTATTTAATAAAGAAATCACTTCTACTAATCATGTATGTAACAATAAAAGAGGAAGAACCTGTTTAAATAACCTGTCAAGCAACTAAAATCCACTCAAAATTAAAAGACCGGTCTACACGTAACTAGTTAGGCAAGTAGCGAGAGTTTTTGACCTCCAAAGCATGGAGTAACTACATTTCTAATGCCGTACATTCATTCCTGCACCATTGCTAAGATAAATACCAGGTTTAAATTAGTACAAAGCAAGCAGTTAGAATAAAAGCAAACAGACATTGTCAGAAAAGCTCACAAAAGCTTGAGTAAAGTAATTATTATAAATGAGTAAATATTCTAAATGAAAAAATAGCATACTGCCTGTAGTCTAAGCCAAGAAAAGAAAGTAATTTACACTTATGTCTAAAATATGTAAAGGGTGACTTTTTGAAACGGCAATATTCCAAAGGGGATGCAAGGGAGCAAAGGAGAGGAAAAACAAAATAAAACCAGAAACAGAAAGCCACCTTTCTAGCACAAATACATGTCTTCCTTTGAAAGTCTGTATATATTCACTGTAATCTACACTCAAAAAAAAAGCCAGTTTCAGAATACTTACTTCACCTAAACGAGGATGTGTGAAATTATGCCATTCTGAGTAGGAATATCTACACGTATCCATCACAGGCTGTCCTCCTCCTTCTTTAACTGATCCCAGAGTCTGATGTCCACCTCCCTTGACTGATTCCAAGGTATGCCCTCTTCCTTTTATCATTTCAAATGTTTGTTGCTCTCCTGTTTTTATTCCATACCCTCCTTGATCATTTGTATTTTGTAGAGGAATTATATTTTGATCCTAAAAAAAGATGCAGTAGCATGGATACCTTTACCTTTTTTTTTTCTTTAACTCTTTTTCTTTTTTAATTCAAAAGATGAAACAGCAATCAGGAACCGTCAACACTGAAAAGCGAAAAGTCTCCCACTTTGCACTGTGATATTTTGAACAAAAAGCTATCCTTAGTACTCAGTGTATGAAAATCAGTAGGTGGTTTTTGGAAAGGATACTATGACAATGGGGCGGGGGAGAATGCAGTCAAATATGATACGAGATTCAAAACCTGAATCTATATCCCAATGAAAGCTGTACTATTATCCATATGCTAGTTTCTTAAATTATCATGTAAAAATAATGCTTGGTTTTCAAAGTCAACAACCTGTAACCCATTAAGCCAGATAAACAGTCATATGCTTAAGTTTCATTCTGCTTTTTCACACATTAAGTCTATATACTGAGTGAAATTTGGAAAAACTGGTATGAGACCACAAATTAAAAATGACATTATCAGTTTACAATGGCACTACATTATGCTTCACAGGCAACGAGAAATTTGACACTTGTCACCATTAGGGCTTCTTGGTTTTCAAGGTGAAGTAAACTCCATGGTTTTTAAACTAATTTTTTCTTGGGCAGGGCAAAGTCTGGGGTAGGGGACAGAAGAGAAGGGGAAGAATCTAAAGAGCTAAGTCCTTGTGTATGATCGCAGTCCTGTGCTGGACTATGTTCATGGTAGACTGAATCTTAAATTAAGTTTAGATGCCAAAAGCAAGAACATATTTCATGAACATGGACTGTTCAATTATATTTTTTCCCCTAGCTCAAAAATCAACTGTATTTGGGGTCATTTTTCAGGGGAAGGGCAGAAATTGCTCCTGTAATTTACAATGACTATCTGCTAAATTTAAAAATCCTTCTCCAAAGAAAAGCAATAATGTTTTGCCATAAACACACATTCAACATAGGCAAAACAGTAAACTTCTGTCTAATCTCATTGTTGAAAATAACTGAACTGATTAAGATATTCACCTGAAAGTTCCAACCGAATAGTTAAAAGTCTGGAAGAATTCTAAGCAGCCAGGCTAACAACTACAGGTTATGTTTAAATATATATAGTACTACCAACTTTGCCTAAAGTAAGAATTTTCAAATTCTTGTTAAATAGCAAAGCGCATCTAATGATCCCTGTGTTTACTGCTTATTTCCTTTACTAAATCTCGTACTTGCAGCTGGTCCTGTTCTCAAATTGAAATGCTATGGCTAACTTAATTACATGTTTCTACATTGAAGTAAATAGGCAACTTACCATCACTTCTTCTCCTGGAGCTTCTGTATTTGAAATGATTAAATTGTGATTGGCACAATCATCAGTCACATGCCTGTGCATTACCCCAGAGCCACAGCAGCCACAGATTGTGATCAGAATTACTATGGAAAGGAAATAAGTCAGGAAGATGCTATGAACTTTACCTCATAACAGTATTTACTTCTGTTCAATAACAAATTTTGTTGTACTAGCCTTTTTAAATGCCTAAGCATCAAGTATAGTTTAAAAAGCAATTTATTTCCAAAAATGCCCATACTCTAAACTGTACATATATATACATTTTTTCAAAGAGTATATGGAGTTTTCACTACACTGTTGAACGATTTCATTCTCCTAAAACGTATATTGGTTTCCCTGAAAGAAATGTAAGCATCCTTTATGAGAACACTAGGACTGAAAAATTTCACAGTAATAAAAAGTTTAGACCAAATCCAGGTGAAAAATCATGTCTTACGCCTACAACAAGGTTGAACATAAAACATTTTTCATGTATGCATACAAAGATGTCAAATTATATTATAAGGAACTAATACGCAAGCTAAAGGTCTCAATACCAGAAACTTCTGGTTCACAGAAGAGGTCAGCAGAACCCTGGAGGACTTCAAGCATTATGTTACAGAACAATCTTATTTGATTCCTTGTATTCAGCTTATTCCTCCTACAATACTACTTTGTGTTGTTATGGAGACTCAGCCAGAAATGACTTTGCAAAAAAGAATCATGAACAACTAATACCTCTCCTAAACAAAGG